GATTTTCTATGAGTGAGGTTGTGAGTGCACAATTCTATATTCCTTTCCATACAGATTACATAGTGAATTTCTACTCCTTCTCCCATGGACGTAGACTATAAGCTGAACCACATAAATTTGTGTGTCCTCTTTGCTTGCTTCTCTTTATCTTTATTTTTCTTTCATTTTTGGGTGTCATTCGTATATGTATTTTTCGGTTTTGAACAACACAAACTTCTACCATGTAAAAGAATTGCATCCAATAATGAAACTTGTGTCCACCACAATGAGGTCTAATATGTGGGACTATTGGCATATAATTGCATTGTCTTTGTTAAAGGATTAGATTAATTGTAATAGACCTATTTATCAAGAGAATCAATAACCCAAATTTAGACGGTAAAGAATAACAAGAAAAATGTGAATAAACTTATTATCCTCTTTCTAATGTATAAAATTGTAATCTGTACATTTTGATTCTTGTATATTGTAATTACATAAGAAAACCCTAAAAATGTGGTTGCCCTTGTTAATTTTGAGTGGACAAAACAGTTAAAAGTCTTTAGCTGGTGAGGATGCTGAGTAGAGAAACTCTGGTCTGTATCAAACACCTAAAAAGGAAGTCCAATCCTTCTTTGAGGCTTTCAAGGCTAACCTCCAGATCCTTGGCTAGCCTCTCCCAACTCATTTCAAGGCTCCCACATTGGAAATATATGATGGAAGCACCGACCCGAATTACCACTTTACCAAGCACTCATGTTCCTATACGAGTACTCCGATGCCCTAACGTGACGAGCTTTCCATGCAACCTTCAAGGGAGGGGCGCGCAAATGGTTCTCCATGCTTCCTCTTTGGTCCATCAATTCATGGGAGCAATTTGTCAACCTCTTCCTCTCCTACTTCATGAGCAACCGACAGAGCTAGAAGACCATCATATCACCCTTGTGGATCAAACAAAGGAGCAAAAAGAGCTTTCAAGCTTACATTGATCGCTTCAAAAAGGAAGAGCTCGAAGTCTGAGACACTCCACCCCTCGGTCTTCATGCACGCCGCCATCAACATCCTCCAACTCGGACCCCTCAAGTGGTCCATCTCCATAACACCGCCCAAGAACAAGGTGGAATTCCTGAAGGAGACGTAAAAGTACATTGCCGCCGAGGAGGCCTCGGCCGGCGAGCGCCTCCAAGAACACGAGGCTGATCCCAGACGAGGAAACTTGGAAAGAAGAGAAAGGATAGAGATGGCCACAACGACAACCATAGCCACAAGAACGCTGACAAGAAGCCGCCGACCCCTTCCTTTAGCAAGTATACGCTACTCAACTCCACCCGAACGCATACCGTCATGCAAGTAGGGAAGGAGGAATACGTGAAGTGGCCAACCAAAATGAAGAGAAACCTCAAGAGGGGTAATCCAAAGAAATATTGCAAGTACCACTACGACATTGGCCACGACACCGAGGACTGCTACGAGCTCAAGAATGAGATCGAGTCCCTCATTTGTCGAGGTTACTTGAAGAAGTTTGTGGGGGGTGACGCTAACGCCTCGTCCTCACAATAACATCTGTAGTATCACACCCTGGCAAGGGTTGTTGATGTCATCGCCAAGGGCACAGTCTCAACCTGAAAGGCATATGCCAGGTAGCATAGAATCCAAGGTCCGACAACCAAGAAATCAAAGCGAGACGACATCATCTCCTTCTCGAATGATGACTTAAATGGGTCTCAGTGCCCCACGATGACACGCTGGTGGTTGCCATGACCATCACCAACTACATGGTGAAGAGGATACTCATTGACATCGGTTCTTCGACAGACATTCTCTTTTACAACACCTTTGAGAAGATGAACCTAACACCAGATGAGCTGCAGCCAATTAACGTGCCATTGGTCGACTTTTTCGGAGCTGTCGTTAAACTAGAAGGAAGAATCACCCTACTAGTCACGATAGGGACAAAGTCTCGGCAGGTGACTAGGATGGTCGAGCTTTTGGTCGTGAAGATAGGCTACCCTTACAATGCCATCATTGGGAGGCCGACCCTTCATCCACTCACGATGGCCATTTCATCATATCACCTTGCCATGAAGTTCTCCACTAAGCGTGGTGCTAGAGTCATCTGGGGGAACCAACAAATAATGAAGCTTTCCCATTGGAAGGGCTTGACCTTAGGGTCGAACTAATGAGCCAAGGCCAGCCAGCTGAGGACCTCCTTTCGGTCCCCCTGGACAAGGCTGAGCCTAAGAAGATAGTGCGTGATGGGTCCCACCTTCCTCTAGACACACTTTTCGAATTGGTAAGCTTCCTCAAAACTAATGTTGACGTCTTTGCTTGGTCTGGTGCTGACATGGTAGGAATTGACCCCTCAGTCATTACTCACAGGATCAGCGTGGTCCCGAGCTATAGGCCAATTCGGTAGAAAAGATGAATTTTGCACAAGAGCGTTGGAAAGCCATCAGAGAGGAGGTAGACAAAATACTCGACATCAGCTTCATCCGAGAGGTACACTACCCTAACTGGTTGTCCAATGTGGTCATGGTTAAGAAGGCTAACGGGAAATGCTAGATCTATATTGACTTCACAAACCTCAACGAAGCCTGTCCCAAACACAACTTTCCTTTGCCAATGATAGACTACTACAGGGTACGAGTTGTTAAGCTTCATGGACGCCTTCTCCAGATATAATCAGATCAAGATGCAGCCCAAGGACGTGGAAAATACCTCGTTCATCACTAAGCATGACACCTACTACTACAAGGTCATGTCCTTTGGACTAAAGAATGCTAGAGTGACCTACCAACGACTGGTGAACAAAGTATTCAATTTCCAGATGGGAAGAAAGGTTTAGGCCTATGTTGAAGACATGGTAGTGAAGAGCTTGCAAGCCGACCAGCACACCTCGGACCTTAGTGAGACCTATGTAGTACTTAGGAAGTACAACATAAAGTTGAACCCTAGGAAGTGTTTCTTCAGCGTCACCTTGGGCAATGTAAAATGTTTTTTAGTGATCCGAGGCACATGTAAAATGTTATGTAAATCGAATGATCTAGAAGAGGTGTGAATAGTGGAAGAGCCAATATAAGAGATGGGTAAATGCATACCATTACCAACAGTGACTTCTTGAGAACCATTATATGGATTATGCAAGGATAAGTTATTGAGATCTGTAGTGAGATGATTTGTAGCCCCAGAATCTGGATACTAGATGGAGTCATGAAAAGAACTAGCAGATGAGGTAGTGCGAGAGGCAACATTGGCATTCTTGTTGGAAAACTTCTTGACACCTAGAAGCTCCAGATATTTCCTCCAAGTGGCAGTAGTGTGTCCAACATATATACAAATCTGACAAATAACAGGAGTATCCTTACCATTGGGTCATTTAGAACCGTTGTTAGGATGTTTCTTATTGTCTAGGGAAGAAGACTATCGCGGCTTATTTGAGTAATGTTGTTATGACTGTATAGTGGTATTCCCCCCGTTTTTGCTTGCAAAATGAGCAGAGGGAGAATCAATAGAAATAGCATGCTGAGCTAATCGCTTCTCAAAGGTAAGAAGCAGACTTTGCACATCTGGCATGGCCAAATTTTCCAATCGGGCAGTAACTGTGATAACGAAGGTATCATATTCTAGTGGTAAACCATCGAGAAGATAGTGAATAAGGTCTGAATCTGATAAAAAATAAATAGAAGAAGCAAGTGCATTAGAAATGCCTATAATTTTCTGAATATAGTCTGCAATTGATAGGTTGCCTTTTTTTATATGTGCTAGCTCCAGCTTCAAATCATGGATTCTAGATTTATTAGTGGAGGAAAATAAGCAACTGAGCCGATCCCATACTTCCTTAGAAGTTTTGCAGCCTACAATTTGCGCAAGAACATGTTTTGAGAGAGAAGAAAGAAGCCAGCTCGATATGAGCTGATCCTGTTCATACTAGGAAACGAATTTGGGGTTCACCTGTTGATCATTTGTTCAGGCTACATAAACATTGATGGACATGGCAGAGATCCATCGATATATTCAATGAGGCAATACCCATTGAATGCAGGGAGAATTTGCATGGACCATAGAATATAATTGTATCTATCTAGACGAACTGTGATAACATTCATGAAAATAGATAGAGTAACCAATCCATTAACTCTCGAAGAGGACTCACCTTGAGACTTGATTGAAGAGATTTGGGTAGACATGACGTTAGTCTTTTAACGCTATTATACCATGTGAGACTCAATTGAAGAGGTAATTATCATTGAAGAATTTGCTGAGTTTACAGAGGTTTATATATATAAAGATAAAGAATTTAAAAATTCAAAATCAAATGTGTACAAATAAATTGATAAGTACAACAAGATAATGGTTATCTGGGGTTGATAAGTCTACAGATAACAATTTATTATTGTTATCCAGCTGATGACATGGATTTATCTCTAGCATTCTATATTCCGATTTAGATAAAATAAAAGAAATCGTTGTGAAACAAACATATGAATCCAAATGAAACTGGTATCAGTTTATTGAGGTCTGATAAGTGGGACTTTGGTAAATGTTTGCATATTCTTTGTTAAAGGACTAGTATACTATTCTAATGAACTTTTTTAGTCAAGGGAACCAGTACCCAATAATTTTGGACAAATAATAATAAGAACTTCAGTTGATTGATTCAAAATCAATTTCATCTTGTACAAAATTGCAATCTGTACATTTGGATTCATGTATAATGTACAAACAATACAAAATTGTGGTCACCCATGTTGGGTCTGAGTAATCAAAACTATTAGAGAATCTTCAATTCGTGAGGATGCTAAGTAAAGAAACTCTGCTCTGAATCAGGCGCCTAAAAAGGAAGCCCAATCCTTCTTCGAGGAATCGAAGGCTAACCTCCAGATCCTTCAACCTCTTTTGTGCTAGTTGTGAACAATCAACCTCAGCATCTTTGCTTGGATTGCAACGAGACAAGACGAAAAGTGCAACATCAACAGATTCCAACTCATTCATACAAACATCTACTTGGTTTTCAGAAGCTACTACTCCCCCCTTTGCATCAACTTGGGCACCAAACTCCATCTACCGACCTTTGGCTTTGACACCGGTGTGGACAAGAACAACAACAGAGCGCGAAAGATAGAAATTGCAACACTACTTACTTCTCTTAAGACCCTAACCACCACTGCTGAGTCATAATCATGATCTAAGAGAAGACAGGCTACATATTTCTGTTCCAGTCGTTTCAATGTTTTAAGGCAGGTGCCAGCATCCTTCTTTACCCTTTTCTTAAAGGAAGTGTATGAGGCAACCATGTTACCCAACACCTTCTCTTCAAATTTTCTTCTGTGAAATGCTGATTGAAGATCTTTTACATTTTCCTTCATCTGCAACAAGATGTCCCTTGCAGTCCCACCTATATCTAATAATGTCACTGACCCCTCTATCAACTCATCCACCCAACCCTCTGGTTGATGGTGGACCTGGATCTGCTGCGTTTGTGGCATCTGAAGAAAATTCTCTACACATTTGTACAATTCAACAAGACCCAACACAGCAACACAGATTGATTCTGCCTTCAATGGGAATCCTGGTACTGTTGACAACTCTAAGGCTCTAAGCCTGCTCAGCTCTTGTTCAATACTAGTAGCAGTAGGATAAGAATTTGAGGTCATGCTAATGGAGCGAACATGATAACGATTCTCATGAATTGCATTTTAATCTGCCATTTTTTCTTCAGATTTGATGATAACGATTCTTTAGAGAGGAACACTCCAGATTAGAGGAAGTATGGTTCTCTACAAACCCTTAATTTAGTTGATCGATCTTATTTAAAGACACACATACGAGGACAATAAGAGAGAGCTAGACAAGGAGAACCTTGCTGGCTTGGAATCATCATGTATACAAAACAACCATGTGATATCAGTCTGGTTGCTTTCACCGACATTTTTGGCTTACAAATTAATTCTAAAGTTACAATTAAACTTATTTTATTTCATTCATTCATGTGCCTATGTGATGAACACTTCTGTATAATCCTTATGTATATAGTGGCTTATTCATTATTTACTGGTATACCATCCCCTTGTCTCCCAACACACCTCCGTTCCAGCTACTTTGTTGTTCTTGGTGTTGGAAACTATTCCAATTTTCCAATCTAATAAAATGTTGATTATTTCCATATTTTGTCTCAATCCAGAGGACCATTAACCGACCAACCATACGTAATAAACAAAATTTAACCAACTTTGGCATACATGATCAAAGGGAACAAGATCTAAATATTTTGGTATAGATGGGGATCAAGATATCATGTGTGAGATTTCTCTTTGTCATTCTCTAAAAAATGCAAATGTTTGTTGTGATAACAAGTGAAAGAAACTTTTGTCTAAGATGAAAAAGAGATATGGCTGGTTAAAGGTGATGAGATGGCATCCCACAATCGGCTACTAGCAAATCCCCTAAAGTTGTGTTTGGTTTGAAGGATAAAGTAGGGAAAGGAAGGGAAAACCAGGGAAACCTATACAAGTTTTATAAAGGTTTCCCTATATTTCCCTTCCTTTCCCTACCTTTTCCTTCAAACCAAACATAAACAAGAAAACCGAAATGAAATACAACCACAACTGCAGAAGGAAGAAGAGGCATTTTCAGAAAGATTTGATCAAGTTTTATTACATGTGTTGTCCATTAACTAAGCCAAACCAGACTGGAAATTGGCCGACATTTTCAGAAAGTCAATCGACCAGAGTCATTCTTATCTTCTTTTTAGTATATTGATTATCTATAGAGGTTTCATGAGTCTATGGACATACCACTTTAAATTGTAACTAGCACTAGAACGTGAACCTCAAAATGATCTAATTAAAAAGGAGGTTATACAAATTATTGAGTAGAGTTTCTTATAACATAGAGAGAAGAGAGTGGGGTCAAATTCTATTCCTTAATTGCTTTGTCAATATGCATAAGTAATACAATGCAGATTGCATAGCTTGCTCTTGAATTGCTTGCCCCACTCAAACCAATGACTTGCTCATGATGGGGAAAATTACCGATCTTGCCAGGTTTAAGGTAAAGATGCAAGCGGACACAAACCTTGAGGAGAAATTCTTTTCATGCAGTTGACCCAATGAGACTAAAAGATGGATAACCAGCTACAACATCAAGTGCGTGATCTTGCAGGTTCCCCAACAATCCTCTATGGTACTTACTACTCCATAAACTTTGTTGCTTATTTCCATCTGGTTTTATTTGTAAGCTATGTTCATCAAGCTTACCGAACCAGAATTATGAATAAACCTGTTGTCTTGCCTGCTAATTCTAGATCTGTGACAGCTTTCCAGGATATTGGAGCACTTGTACTTAAGATCAGAGGCCTTTGGCATCCATATGCGCTTGGAGAGAATGGGGCCACACTTGTGCCCAATGATGTACATCTTGGTGAGGACACAAAGGGCTATTGTCCCCAAGCTATATTGTTGACTGGATAAATATGGGTGGATTCAGATGTATTAGATGTATTTGTATTAGAGAATGGATGATGAAATTTGTATTAGAGAATGTATCAATTTGAATCTAAGATGTATTAAATTGTGATTCAAATGTATTATTTCTTTTGGTAGAAAAATATTTTGAATGGAAAGTATTTTGTGACTCAAATGTACTTCATTTTAATTTAGATGAATGTAGACAAAACTAGTTATTTGAAGCAAAGGAGTAATTCAAAAAAAAAAATGGGTTCTATGAAAAAAGAAAGATTTAGCAGTGACTGCTACTAAAGAAGTCCGCGGCTGCCGCTAAAACAAAAGTGCGCCAAACTTATAGCGGCAGCTGTTTCAAAATTAGCAACAGTCGCACTGCTCAAAACATTTTTAGCGGCAATTTTACATTTGTACCGGCAACTGAGAAAACTGCCGCTAGAACGTCTAACGACAGTTCTTTTAGCCACAGATTGCCGGCTAGCGATAAAGTCACTAGAGACAGTTTTAGGCACCTTTAGTGGCAGTTTTGACTGCCACTAAAAGTCATTTTCGTATGGCTAAGTTCAAGCATTGCTTGGACTTGAATGGTTGAATGGTGTTTGCAGCATTTGAGTTTTCCCTTTGGGGATTTTGTTGTAGAAGATGAAGGGAGATTTCCATTTTGTGATGCTTGAGAGAATTTAGGTCAAAGTGGAGATTTGTTATGATTCCACCTTGAATTCTTTGTTGCGATTGGCTTCATGAACCCATTTTGAATTAAGTTAAGAAAAACCCAAAGGCAAAATTGCATAGTGATTTATGGTGGAACCATAGGCCACTTGGCCCAAACCCAACACTTCCACTGCAAATCAACGTTGGGGGTGCAAGGGCAGAACCCCCACGGTGGTACGGACCTGATCTATTTTCAATTTATGGGTCCTAATTGAATACAAAGAGTTATATATTTTGGGGGCTTTCTTCTCGTATACTTAGTCTTTGGTTTGTGAGAAAAGAGTAAGACTTTTGGTGTATTTGCCGTTTAAGGTTTTCTATGAGTGAGGTAGTTGTGAGTGCACAGCTCTATATTCCTTACCATTACAGATTACAAAGTGGATCTCTGCTCCTTCGCCCATGGACATAGGCTATAAGCCGAACCACATAAATTTGTGTGTCCCCTTTGCTTGCTTCTCTTTATCTCTATTTTTCATTCATTTTTTTGTGACATTTGTATCTATATTTCTGGGTTTTGAACAACACAAACTTCTACCATCTAAAAGAATTGCATCCAATAATGAAACATGTGTCCACCACAATGAGGTCTGATATGTGGGAGTATTGGCAAATATTTGCATTGTCTTTGCTAAAGGGTTAGATCAATTGCAAATGACCTATTTATCAACAGAACCAAAAACCCAAAATTTAGACAATAAAGAATGACAAGAAAAACGTGAATAAAATTATTTTACTCTTTATCATGTATAACATTGTAACCTGTACATTTGGATTCTTATATACTGTAATTACATAAGCAAACCCTAAAAATGTGGTTGCCCATGTTAATTTTGAGTGGTCAAAATAGTTAAAAATCTTCAGTTGGTGAGGATGTTGAGCAGAGAAACTCTGGTCTGTATCAGACGCCTAAAAAGGAAGTTCAATCCTTCTTCGAGGCTTTCAACGCTATCTTCCAGATCCTTCAACCTTTTCTCTACCATTTGTGAACTTTCAACCTCGGCATCTTTGCTTGGATTGCAGCGAGTCAAGGCAAAGAGTACAACATCAACAGATTCCACCTCATTCATGCTCTCCTCATGTCTGTCACAAGCTACTACTCCTCTGTGCATCAGCTTTGACACCAAATGCCACCTACCGACCTTTGGCTTTGACATTGGCGTTGACAAGAATGACAAGATAGCCCGGAAGACAGAAATTGCAACACTGTTGACTTCTCTTAAGACCCTAACCACCATTGCTGAGTCATGATCAAGATCTAAGAGAGGACAGACTACACACTTCTCTTCCAGACGTTTCAGCATTTTAAGGCAGCTGCTAACATCCTTCTTCACCCTTTTCTTGAAGGAAATGTATGTACCGACCTTGTTCCCCAGCATCTCCTCAAATTTTCTTCTGCGAAGTGCTGAGTGAAGATCAAGGACATTTTCCTTCATTTGAAGCAAAATATCCTTTGTAGTGCCGCCTATATCCAGCAATGTGACTGGTCCCTCTATCAACTCATCCACCAATGCTTCCAGTTGATGTTGGACCATGATCTGCTGTGTTTGGGGCATCTGAAGAAAAGACTCCACACATTTGTACAACTCAACAAGACCAAATAGTGCAACACTGATCGACTCTTCCTTCAATGGAGATCCTGATTGTGCTGTTGATGACAAAGACTCTAAGGCTCTAAGCCTGTTAAGCTCTTCTTCAATGTTGGTTGCAGTAGGATGGGATCGGGAGGGCATGCTAATGGAGCGAACATGACAACGACTTTCAGTTGTTGCAGTAGAATCGGCCATCTTTTACTTCTTTCTCTGCAACAGATCCACTGCGTAGAGGTTCTTTAGAGAGAATCTCTTTAGATTGGGGAAAGGATTGATGTTTCTCTCTAGACCCTTTGAACTATTTATAGATACACATACAAGGATTATAAGAGGAGAGACAAGGAGAATCCTTCTGACTTGGAATCATCCTGTCCATATAACGAGCATGTGATATCAGTACGCATGTCACATTTCTGGCTTACAATTCCCTAGTTTCAGCCTTATTTTAGTTCTTTCATTCCTGTGGGTACGTGATTGAAGGACACTTTGTATATGCACAGTAAGCTTATTATTAACTGGTATACCATCCCCTTGTCTCCCAACAGTCCACCGTTCCCAGCTACTTTATTATTCTTGCTGTTGGGGTCGACCTAATGCCATTAATTTCCCAATCTAACAAAATGTGGCTTTCTATATATTTGTCTCAACCTAGAGGACCAGTAGGCCATCAACAACAATGAACAATTAAATTAAACAACTTTGGCCACATGGGAAACAAGATCCGAAAGCTTTGAGATAAATGGAATAATATTCAAGATCATGGGTGAGATTGATTGTGCAAGTCTGGCATGTCTTGAGCTTGTCTTGGTCCATATGGTCATTGGCCAAAACATAGAAGAATACTTCAACATACAATTAGACTCATGATTAATTAGGACCTATATATGCAGTAAT